TTGATAAGCTGTTCTGGTGTTTCCCCATATTCCCCGCACAGAATGCCGTTGTTTCTTAGCTTCAATCTACTGAGGTGTTGATTGAGGAGACAGTGTGCTCTTAAAAACCTTGTGACAATCCGAAGATTTTTCTTACTTAAATCAAGAAAAATCAATGGGTCGTAAGTTCTGAGAAATTTCTTCGAGTGTCTTAGTCCTTTGGAGGATTTTTATTCCAGAATATAAAGAATATGAAAAGTAGCGGTTGAACTAAAACTACGAAGTAGATATTTCCATCTATTATCCAATGTATTTACTGAAAAGTAGTACTCATATTTAACACAAAATTATCTCTCTCATGGATATTTATTTATATTAATATTTTCAGGTGTCATTGAATTATTTTAAAAATATATTTCTGTTATTTTAATAAGCAGTTAAGTAGTAGTTAAAATGGTTAAAAGATTTCATGGTCCGTTATTTCTATTATTATTCGTTTATTTAGAGGTTTACAGTAGTTTTAATGATTTTCATTTTTTATTAAAAGAAAAACACAATAAAATTGCATAAAATCAATGACTGACTAGACATGACGGATGCGTGTAACCAGGGGCGGATACAGGAATTTATTTTAGTATAAAAGTATTTTAAAAATAATGTAGAATATGCTTTTAGGGCGCCATTTTTAACCCAAAACTCTAATATTTAACCCAATTTATAGATTTTAGGGGGGGGGGACTCCAAACTAAACCAAACTAACCCACACTAATCCTAGTCTTCATACATCCGAATTTCGGACGTTTTCAGCAAAAAAATATGACAGCGCCAAATTTGTTAAAAGTTAAATAAGGTTTTAATGATTATATGAATTTAGGAGATTTCTCTCTGTCAGCTATCTATACAAAATTCGTCAAAAAATTCGTAAAAAATGTTCATACTCATAAAAACGTTGCATATACAGGGTGTCCCAGAAATAAGTGCAAGTATTTTAACTGGTAGTATATTTCGGCCTCAGAAACACGCCTAGGTTTTTATTGCGAAAAAAAAATTTGAAAATATGGAATTTTTTGAAAAAAATATGGGATTTTTTTTAGTTTTAAGTTAAAAAACATAATTTCTTGATAATATGAAAACACAGGTAGTAGATTAAATGTACATGAAAGAAAATCCAGAAAAGATCCAGTGGTTCTCAAAATTTAAGCAAGAAAGCATTTTTGTTTAAATTTTCAAAGTAAAATAATTCGGTTATTTTGACGTATTTGAAAAATGGTAAAGAGAAAAAATGTTTGTTTTGACCAGATCTGCCACCCCTTAAAATACTTACACTTATTTCTGGGACACCCTGTATAAAAATGTATGACGTTAATTTTTCGCAGAAACGTCTGAAATTCATATGCATAAAAACCAGGCTTCAATGTGTATAAAGTAGCGATACCTAAATGATGTTATATTAAAAAAAATCCAAGGGAAAAGTTGTTCAGAATTTGATTTTGCATTCTAGATAATAATTTATATAAATATATAAATATACAGGTACTTACAAAAAATACGATATTTTGCAACATTTTCGTAAAGGTTTTTACAATTTATCGCAATACAGCAGAGAAAAATTATTGCATTATCACTTTATTTTTATTATAATAAATTTTCATTTGTGTCCCAATATTCCGTAGACATAGCTCTTCTATATATTTTTAAAATTCATTGGACACATTACCTCTCTACAAATGTGCTTTATTTGTCCGTTAGGGGGCATCAAATCTTAAAAACAAACACATTTTTTAAGATACTTTAAGAACCTTTATTCTGATGTGAATGAGATTTGGGGTGCCTATGTTTTGCTAAGTGCTGTAACATTTGAAAAATCAAGAAAAAATACGGGAAGGGTGAGAACTACCCCTCCCCCCTACATATATTTTAGTACACATATTTTCCAACTCCACCGACGGCCGATTTTTTTTTCGTAAAATGGTCCTTCTAGTATTTGGTACATATTTTACCTCTTGTAAGAAACGCCAACGCGCATACATTTTGAGGATTTTTTTTCGAAGCTGTTTTACAAAAAATGTTTCTTGTCACATCAAACTATGTAAACACACAATCTACTATGCGCTAATAATCTTGTTGGCAAAAATATAAAAATTTTATGCTTACTTAAGAGATAAAAAATGTAGTAAATACCACCCAAGTGGCACAAATGTGCTTAAAATGGTTATATAGAGTGTTATATAACAATTCATGATAAATATGTACTACTTTTAAATTCTTTATAAACCCTAATACGATAGTTATAAACACGAAATAGGCGCAGGTTTATAAAACAATATAGTTATTTAGAAGTACGTTAAAAACTCTCCGATAACGCTTACAAAATAATATTCAGTACATTACAAAATATTTATAAAACTGTTTTATAAAAGTTTTATAAATATTTTAAAAATAACATATTTGTCTCAGTTAAAATATTTTTGTAGCATGCATCTGCATTTTTGTTTTTTAGTTATCAAGAATAAAATTATAATATCGTGTGTTTATAGTGACCAAGATAAAACTGATTTTAAAATGGCAACGTACACATATATTCTATTTAAATGACAGATATGACTAATTTAAAGAAAGATGTAAATTGTATAAAAAGTATATCGCCTAAAACGCTCCAGGAGTCAAATTTTCCTGCGGAGCAAATTTGACTGATGTTATATATCCATATTTGTGAAAATATTTTAAGGCGCTTTCATTTTAATAAGATTTTGCACTTAAAATAAATATTGAATTTTTAGGAAATTACTGCAAAATTACCTGTAAACTGGAAAATCGACATTGTCCAATATCCGATATTATTGGAAACTAATTCGTTTCTTATAAATACGTTTATTTTGAATTAAATTTCGATTATTTTGTTTTGCAAATCCCGACTCGATAAAATGGCCGACATACAGTCGTCCAAATTCAACATAAAATCATGGCGTCGACTAACAAAACATTTTTGTTGCTCAGGGAGCAGTTATACAATTAACTTGTTTTACAATGATGCTATACGGAACATATTTGTTTTATTACTAAAAATAATGTCGGCAAAATACAATTAAGTTCTCTATAGTCTATATATTCCGGTGCTGTCACATTTACAACAATAAAATTACAGACGTGTGTTTTTAAATTCGATAGTAGGTTCATCAATACTTAAAACATAGGAAGACATTTTAAAAAATTAAAATTTTCATCGATTTTTCTACGGCAAATAATTAGAAAAAAAATACATAATTAAACACAAATTTGACTTTTAATTATACTTGCAGACTTTATTTTTATTCTGGCAACATTGGATGGCTTTCTTTCCTTCACCTTTTAGATACGAACGCCACAGAATAATAACGTAGAAATGGGCCTCACTACTATGTAGTCGAACAGGGTTTTAATATAGCAATTTTTCGTTAGTATATTCTGTGATAGCAATATTGTTGCACTTCACGTGTTATCCCGCTATTTCAAAACCTGATTATTTTTTATTCATTTTGCTTATGTTATTTATTTTTTGTTAGCTACACTTAGACACAAATATGTTTAATATCAAAAATAAAATCTTCTAGTTAGAAATACTTGACATTTTAAGTTTTCGAGATAAAATCACAATTTTAAAATATATTTTAAACTCTGACCACAACCAAAGTTTGAGGTTAGTGCTATAGTAGGTTTATAATGTTTCCTAAATAACATTTTTGTATTTGGGGAAACACTTTTGTTTTTTAATCGCTTTATAAGAATTTTAATTCGTTTCTTTAACAGCAATTATAAAATTGTTTTCTTAGAGTAGCGGTCGCGACTAAATTATTGCGAAGATCAAATTATTTTATAAATCAGTCGTAAAAATATCGAAAATGTCGACATATTTTATAAAATCTATAAAACATGTCGATAATGTTTTAATAAACTAAAATGCATATTTTTATAGCTGTTTTGGAAATATTTTATAATTGTTTTAAATTATATTATAAATCAATTATAAAATATATCTAGCTCAAGCATAAATAGTTGTATAAGATTTGTTATATAAACGTTCCTGAGCATATTAACGAATATATTTATAAAAATGTTTTATAAATTAGTCGCCAAAACATCTATATAATAAAATAATAAAACACATTTGTCTCTATGATAAATTGTGTTCTTTGCGTTTATTATATAACAATTCAGTGTATGAGATCCCTTTAATAAATCGGATATAAAACACATCACTCTCATAATAATTTATTGTGCTACTTGGGCAGGCGGATTACTTTACGAATAAAAAATCGGTCGTCAGTGGATATTTCTACTAAAATTGATGTAGGAGTCGTGTAGTTTTCACACTTCCCGTACATTTTCATGATTTTTAAGAAAGTCAAATATTAAAAACATAGACACACCAAATCTTTTTCAAATCGGAATTCCGGTTCTCAAAAAAATTTTAAAACATGTGTTTTCTTTTTTAAGTTTTATGCCCTCTAACGGACAAACGAAGCACTTTTGTATAGAGGTATATTGTATCAATAAAGTTATTTTGATTACAAAATTACGTAGTAGTTCTATGTCCACGGAATATTGGGACACCCTACACCCTGTCTATCTATTATTTTTTGAAACATATCTGAAAAATTGTATTTTTCCGAAAGTGTATTTATGAAAAATGATCTATAAATATAAAATCCAATTCTAAATAGCTTTTTTCTTTTATAATTATACCTATGTTTCATCTCTGGCAATATACCTAAGTGTTATACCACAACCTGGCAGGTACGTATAAGCAAAAAAAATAGTCTAGTGAAGTCCAGGCTAACATTTTTATTGTTCTGACTTGGTTAGTTCCTATACTATAAAGAGGTACTGTGAAATTTGTGTTATTTTCAAAAAAATATTTTATTTTTTCCAAAAAAGATTTTTTTAAGTTTTCTCTTTGAATGGGGATATTCAAATTAGCCAGAGATGTACTGTTTGTATTAAAATCAAGTTAATGTAGATATAATCTATTGAACAAAACTTACTGCAAAACGTAGATCCCCAACGGGAGGTTTAGCGTATGGAATACCTTGATAAGCATAATAAAGCTTATTCTCCGGGTCTGTCCATCTTTCTTTGCCAATTATAGGACCACTTTTCGTAAAAACTAAATTGGCTGACTAAAAATAATATTTAAATAATTATAATTTTCTGACGGCCTTAATTTTAATTTAGATATAAAATGAAATTAATTAGTATTTTAAAACGTTTTTTTTTTAAAATCAAAACTAATTCTTATTTTCTAACTATTTTACAATCACTTATATTTTGCTCACAGTGGTAGTTGTTGCCAACAGAACTAAAATCCAAACACTAAACATGTTTCTTTTTGATTGATCTACTTCACAATGACACTAATTCTTAAAATACTCGAAGGTAATACTTTAGTTTTGTTCTACAGCTCTAATCACAGTAAAATGTAATTTCTTAAATATTATTATAAGTATCTTAGACTGATAAAACTTAATTGAATTATTAGCAAATTAATACGTAAATTACTAAATACACCTATCGATAAAAATGACATACAGGGTTTTTATACTATCCATTAAAAGTTTTTAGGATCTAATTTAAATACAAATCTAGGAATATTTTAGGCTAGATATTGTCTTTTTAAAACATGTTTTAATACCTGCCAAATATTGATGATGCGGTACCGTCCACACTAGTTGGGGCAACATGTCCGAGATTTAGTTTAGCTCTGCGCCGTTGCGCGCTGATAGTCGTTTACAGCGCAGCGGATAAAGAATAATGTACCGTAGTTCTGCTTTCAGTCGACAGAGTGAGTGGTTGCCGGGGACAGGGTTGTCAGAACTATGGATTAATCCGTAGATTTAAGGATTTTGGGTACAGTACGTAAATAATACGGATTTTCTATCATTAAACAATTTAATATAATATTATATGATTAAACGAAGAACGGCGTCAGAGTTGGCTTGGAAATGAAGATCGCTGTTATTTCATATGTAAAATATTATGGTAAATGTCAGTAGTTGTCATTTCCAAGTCAACTAAACGACTTTTTTCGAAAATACGAAATATTCAGTACCTATAAAAGAATTTTTATTTTGTTGTTTATTATATGTTTAACACGAATAAATTTTCAATACATAAACGCAGATTTTTCATCCAAACATATTTCCGTCAAAGGTATTACCAGATATCACACATTTTAAATGGCAACACTGGCGTTTTCAGTTCCACACCGTCTTTTATATGCCTTCGCTAGCGAGAAAACGAGCGTTTTATGCGTTGGCCGCATAACGAGTAGAGACTCCACTGTACGCATTTATACATTCCGTACATGTATACGACACCTAGCACAATCCCATTGGTCAGATTTGAATTTTAAAACTCCGAGTGCCATACGCGAGTATGAAACGTAAGACAGTGCCATGCGCACTTACGTAATGTACCTGGTAATTATGCTTGCAGCAGAAAGTAACGCCTGGCTATAGCTAATCTTGCAAGAGTAGCTGTGGCTCAGTGACTGACGCCATCGCTTCGTGAACGAGAGGTCCGTGGTTCAAATCTCACGGCGGACCATAACTTTTTTTATTTTTTTTTAAATTGTTTTTATTTTTTAAAAAAAGCTGTAAATATTTAATAGCAATCAAAATACGGATTGCGTCGGTTTCACCCTTTTTGGTGGAGTTAGATTGATTTATTCGGTGGAGTTAGTTGCGTTGATTAAGATGGTTATTTGGTGAGGATGATTGCGCTGGATAGGTTAGCTATTTGGTGGGGTTGGTTTGGTTTTGGTTGCTCTATAACAATGCGTTAATAGTAATGTCTAAGGTACCTTCCGTAAGTGCATATGGCACTGTCTTACATTCCATACTCGCGTATGGCACTCGGAGTTTAAGTTAGTTTAAAATTCAAATCTGACCAATGGGATTGTGTGCCGTATACATGTTCGGAATGTATAAATGCCCACCGTACAGCACTTAAGGTGTAAGGGGAAATCAAATCAGCCTTGTCACGAATTTGCCCAATAGGTGGCCTATCTTGCCCATTCTTTCAACCAACAATGTAGACAATGGTTCGGCATTGAAACTAAAATAATTTTGTACTTCCATTGTTTTTATTTATTTTGTTTAACACAAAGTTTCGGACAGAAAGACCACTGACCGAAGTGTTTACACTTGATAACGGTCAATTTAAGTGTCATAATCAATTTTTTTGATCGTATGTTGAATTATTATTACTAACGTCCTGTATATGAACATATGTTTCCAATCGAATGAAATCATTTGTAGAAAATTTTTAAATGTAAACAAAAATTTATACAATGTTTATATATTGATTACATTGTGAAGCGTCACTTTCCTAATCTTATCATATTGTAAAGTGCTACTCTGTCTAGAATTAGAATAGTTCTATAGGTTAATTCAAATCAGAATTGACTTTTAAATTCAAAATTTAGTTTATTAGGAATGTCTACTTTCCTAATTATCATAAAAATAAAATTTTGTAGAGTAATGTTGAATTTGTTCTGAAGAAAAATGGTATAATGTACAAGAAACTAATATATAGATTCTCTGTAAACTTCCAATAAACACCTGTTTGTAAGGGAAATCTTATTTTTGGAAGTGGATGATACGAAACAACACTTAAAATAATATAATTTTAAATTATTTCATGATTAATTGTGTTTTTATTTTTACTTTCTTCAAGGACTTCGGTTGGAATAGTTTTACCTTGTTCTACGTGTTGGTTTAGTGCTTCAGATGTATCATGTTATTACAGAAAATTGGATAAATATGTATTTGAAGAATCCTCTTTCTTGAAGTAGTAGATATTATGTTAATTTTAAATATGACATACGGTATAGACACGTTCATTAGGCGGAAAACATGGTTCGTTGAACGATTGATTCGTTGATTCAACCAAATTGAACAATCAAATAAATGTATACAATACACTTTTCAATTAAATTAATTATTTTCAAAATATCAACTTAAGGTTCAGAATGTAGAATATTTAGCAAGGGTCTTGTCGAATGTAGAATGTTTAGGAAGGGAATTAATCACCGCGACCTCCTACAGATCTATTGTGTGTTCCTCTTTCTTGAGCTATAACGAGTTAGAACTCATCATACAGTCTCAGGGCTTTAACAAAAGACAGTATCTGAGACGGCTTCACATCCTCGACATCAGCCGTACCAGTTTATGGCACGAACGGTTGTCGTCTCGGCGTACTCAGTGATTAGGTGTTCTGGTGTTGTTTTCAGCTTCAATCTACTGAGGTGTTCGTTGAGGAGACAGTGTCCTGTTAGAAATTCCGTGACAATCGGAAGATTGTTCATATTTAAGTCATGGAAAAATCTTTGATTTTTCTCGCTCGTAAGTTCTGAGAAACTTTTTCCAGTGTCTTAGTCTTAGACCGTTGGGGAATTTCCCATTTCTTGGAAAACAGAACGGTTCTGGTCCAGTTAGTGGAGTGTTCGCTCCTTTTCTAGCCAGATCGTTTGCTTTTTCATTGCTTTCTATCTCTTGATGAGCGGGCACCCAAAGTACGGGAACTTTATTTTCTTTGCCTAAAGTGTTCAGCTTCTCTAGACATTCTTTGACCAACTTCGAATCGGAACTCAGTTTTTAATTGTATTCCAGGCGATCTTTGAACTGTAGGTTATATACATGCTCTCCAGCGTGTTTATCCATTGTATTGTTTTGCTCGGCTAAGATTAGCTAACATTTCCGCATTTTATGTTTTTTTAACAATCTTCTTTGAACAGACTAGTATACTGGTTCATTAAGCTAATGAAATTGTTGATTATTCCGGGTATATATTCTTGCCTGCATCCTCTAGGTGTTTTCTGGAGAGATGTACGGTGTCTAAAATCTACAGTAGACCAGGCTGTAGACACTATAATCTGTCTACAGTGTATATGTTATAGGCGTATAGAATAATCGGGCTTTTTGCAAAAAGATTAGGCATATTATAAAACGCTGGCTTTTTACACAAAAGAAGGAATTTTTACAAAAAGTATATCTATTTTCAGTCACTTTGCAAAAAGCCGAATTAGAATTATTAGGCATATTAAACAATGATAATATTTTCTGTACACTTCTGCAAAAAGACTGCCTGTTTTCAGTCATTTTACAAAATGCCAAATCGAGAATCGAGGCTAGGCAGATTAAAAAATGATCAAAGTTTAGTCAGCTATGAGCATAATCATATTGAATAATTTACGCTTTAATACAAATACCTCATATTTTCATTTAAAACAACAATAATAATCGTTTATGTCAAAATTGTATTATGTTTAGAAGAAAACAACTTGAATCCTATTTCATAAATTTTAATTATAAATAACATAATTTTAAATACGAAATATATTAAAACCTTAATATTAATATCTCATTTAATTATTATACTCTGTAATTCGATTCTGTGTACAGAGCTGCTTCTATGTGGAACTTTGTTTTCTTTTAGAATAAAATGAATTTAGATCTTTATAATAATCATCCTCAACCATTTGACCATACTCTATTTAACAGAATTATCCATTTTTGTGCCATTATTTCCAAATTTTAAAAGAGAAGTTTAAGAAATGTCGTTGGATAAATTTAGATTAGTGATACCAATCCCGTGTAAAATGTTTTGTAAAAATTTTCATTAGATATTTTGCAAAGCGACTGAAAGCAGATAGGCTCTTTGTAGAATATCCTTCTTTTGTTAAAAACGCCGGCGTTTTATAATATGACTAGTTTTTGCAAAATGCCGAGTTATTCGATAGGCCTCCGACCAGTGGCGTAGCGACAAATTATGGGCCCCCCAGCGAAACATGAGTTAAACCCCCCCCCCCCACCGGCCTACACCCCTATTCCTTATTTTAAAAATAATTCAATATTTATATTATTTTATTTTATATGAATATGAAGCTTGTAAGTATGACCAATTCAGGAAACAAAATTAGGGAATATATCTCAACTTCAAAACTAATATAAAATTCAACTTTAATGCATATAAAAACAAAAAATATATACAATACACAATGTGCGAAGAACGTTACAATACAAAAAATATTATTTTCGAACAAGGAACAAGATAAAAATATTCTTTGAAACTAGAAGGAACAAAAACTGAAAAACCTTCAGGCGCCTAGTACGCCTAAAGCTTGATTTTCATGCATCCGTTGTCCGACGATACGTTGATACGATATTAATTTTATTAGTAGAATTTAAAGACTTTGATTGGTTAGAAAATAACGCAGTTTTTAAATTTATTGCATTTTCATGCCTCCGTTTATCGGATATACGTTGGTGTCATTTTATATTTTCGTTTCCATAACGATTTTGCTATTTTACTCATATTTTTATTTAGGTTAGATTAAATTTGCCCAAAAAGTGTCAAAACGTTCGTTATTGTATGAACGGGTCCGTTGACGGGCTGAAATAAAATATTTACGGATGAACAATG